CCGGTTTGGCTGGAGTGAGGTCCAACTCACCTTCTTAATTTTTAGTTTGGTTGGTGCTCACTAGTCTGTACATTTTGGAATACTCACTATAAACCGTTACTGAATACATCTTGTGCTGTGTCTCTGCAGGAGTATAGAGTCCTTTATAACTACACAGCAGGTATAGTCTGTATGCAGCAATCAATTTGAAACATGCAATCTGCTGTTTCACTTAATACAAATGCCTGCAGTCAGGTTGTATCTTTGTCAGACTCTAATTTTACGTTGGACCTTTAATCAATCTGAACAAACATCACAATTAATTAATTGTCAACTTTGCAAATGTGAATTTCTTCTACCTGTTTTTCTATATATTTTTTTAACATGAATTAAAAGTCCTGTTACAAAACTTTCTTGCAAGAGATCCCTAATGCATGAAAAGTGCTTCCCAACAGTATGCAGAGTTTAATTAAGAAAAACACACACGCACATACATATATAGAAAGATAATCTTCAGCGAAAAAAAAAAATGAAATACTGTTATCTTTTTGTTATATTTTATTTTACTTTATTCCACTTTTTAGCCAACTAAAATGTGTATTATACATATATGTTTATATGTGAGTTCATGAACTGAATTAAAGATGATAAAACATACGACACCGTTTGGTAAAATGTTCTGAATTATTGCAGAATTATTGGATGACTAGATAAATCCTTCTGTGACTCTATGTTTGCCCGTACGGACTTAGAGTCTCCAAGCTGTCTTTTTAAGGCTTTGTGTGCCATCACAGGATATAGCTCTGACTCACACATACTATGGCAGTACATGAAAAAAAATCAGCCCATTAAGAAAGATTTTATGTTCCAGCTTAGCATTTACAAAAACAGCTGTTGCAATTCTATTAGATCTATATAGTATGTCTTCCGGAACACCTGATCTCAGTAGGTGAATGGCGAATTGCTCATTCAATCATGTCTCCAACAAAGGAAAATATCAATACAGTTCGTATGGCTCGGTTCAAATGGATGAACTGTGTGCTATGTAGAAATATGATATGTATAAATATAAACTACAGGATTAATAAATAATATTCAATCCATTTATATCATATGTTTCTTCATGCACGTTAATTACATTAAAATACAAATTAAAATACATGTAATTAGAGCACACACACACACAAATACTTATATCTGTTTATAAAATGTTAGCTTTCTTTATATCTTAGTAAAAAAATATAGAAAAGCATATAGATAAGCATATTTACCCAAAATAATATTCACAATTCACAATTCAGCTGTTCCTGCAGTGTTCCTTAAATTACGGTAGGAAACCTGGACTTGTATCACAGTTCTTCATAATATAATAATTGCAGGGTAAAATACTAAAAACAATATTTTTTTGAAAATGATTCAAAAGTATGAAAAAGCTATAATTGTATTAATATAAAAATATTAATAATTATTCATATTAATATTGATATTCTGAATAATATGGCAATATTAATTATTATATGATCACACCCACATATCATTTTCTTAATTATGGCCTGTAGTGAGTAAAAATGACAAATATTAAAATGTTGTTGCATAATATGTATGACAGTCCTCTTCTCTTCCAGACACTTCAGAAAGGCTCTGTCTCTGTGAGACCCAAAATGAAAGAGGACCCAAATAGTCGCATTGTAAGAAGATATTAAATACATTTTAAAAATGTAGTATGCTATGGTTAATGTTTACAATACACTCAGATTTTACACTCAGGATTAATTTTTCATGTAGTTCAATATTAAATTCTTTAGGAATCGAAATCAAGCGATAACTGTAACTACACAAGAGGAAGAGGCAATGCATTGTGTATAAGGATCTGGTGATAACGAGATTGTTTATGGCTAGGAACAAAGATCTTGATGATGTATACAAAAAGAGGCCAAGGTAATTACTAGGAATGGAGTTTTCCGATGTAAGAGGGATTGCGAGATGAGGTTTTATTTTTTTATTTTTTTTCAGGGAGATAACTGGGAAGTTATTTGTGTTCATTATTTTAAAAGTTTCTTTATTTTATATAAATTCAGCGTAGACTTAGAGACAGATTTGTGGTTAATTACCTTAACAGTGTGTCATGAAGGGATAGTTTTACTTGCAATGATATTGTTAATTGTGTGTCTTCTGGATCAATAGGGAAGACATGTTTTTTGTTTGTCTAAGAGTTGTTATTTCGGTATTAATATATTACATTTTATTAAAGGCAGAAAAACTTAAATAACTACTTGACACGGGGGCCAAGTGAGAATAAACTATTGTCATTATACTGTCAGCTGTCAAAGTAATTGTATAACACTGAATATTCGCTAATTTGAAAAGCACAAAGAATCTCTTCCTCAAATAACACATCTTCCACTTGGTATCGGTTTCTATATATAAGATTCTCCATATTAATGCAAACAGTAATATGAGCATTTATACAAAGTACATTTTCTATACCTGTGAAATTCAGATTTAAAAAACCCCCAACTTATCTCATTTCTGAAGGAGGTCTTTTAGAAGACAGAATCAAGCCGGCTGATTGGTCATGCTATCTGTAACAATTTGTAGCTATCTGTAAATAGAGTTAACTTAGAAATTTCAGCTTTTCCCCGAAAAACGCACTAGGGCTTATTTTCAGGGCAGGTCTTATTTCAGGGAAAAATGCATGCTAGAAAGCAGGTCTATGTTTGGGGGAATTCCCCTTAACATAAACCAATTCACTAGGGCATGAAATCCTGCAAATCTATGTTCGGGGAAACTTTCCCGAACATAGATTAGCTAACTCGCTAATACAATACCGCAAATCTATGTTCAGGGAAACTTTCCTGAACATAGATTAATTCACTTGCGACTGGAATTTTGCGTATCTATGTTCGTGGATACTTCCCCCGAACATAGACAAGCATACTCGCGAATGGAATTCCGCAGATCTATGTTCAGGGAAAATTCACCGAACATAGTTTAGCACACTAGCGACTAGGGCTTATTTTCAGGGTAGGGCTTATATTAGGAGCATCCCCTGAAAATAACCTATGGCTTATTTTCGATGGGTGTCTTATTTTCGGGGAAACACGAACATGGATTGACCTTAAATTTGAAATTCACCTTGAATTCTTTAGTGAATAATCCTGTAAGTAGCAAGATTAATAGTTTTGCTCTGTAGAATCTGTATTTTATGCCAATTGCAAGACCTCTAAGTACTGTGAACTACATGGAAGGCATGAAAAAAAAGCATAGAGGTTTATTTAGTTATTTTTAGGTTAAAAATCAAAGCCTAAAGGTTTCCCAGATAAGGATAATTTCCCAGATATTTGTGTTAAGTAATGTATTTGCATTTTATTATGAAAATATATGTTCTCGAAATGCTCTGGGAAATCCTGTGTCATTTTAATGAAGAAAGAACGAATTCAAGTCATACGTAATTATAGCTGAAATGATTAATCATAAATAATGGCAATTTATATAATTTGGGGTATTGCGATTTGAATTAAAAATTCTGTTACTAAGTAGATCAAGTGATTATAGATGAACCAGAGGCAAAACAGATTTGTAACCTGCAAATGTTAGTAGATACCCTGCTGTGGTTTGGAATGAGCATGCATAACAAACCAAAATTAAGTGATAATTTGAATCCAGAAGTAAGAAACGCAAATAAAAGTTTAAGAGCTGTGAAGGTAATTTAGTTTAAAATAAAAATGATCTGATTTATGCTCTTGAACAACCAGGTTTAAAGTCTCTGAACATTCCAGAATGGATACCCTGGAATCCTAGAAATTCACAATCAATTAATTAATTTAGTTTTTTTTTCTTTCTTACATATGTAGCATTCATTTATCTTAGTAATTATTTTTAATTACATTTTTTTGTTATATTCCTGGAATGGACAACCTTATCTATTTTTAGTATTTCACCATGAAAATATTTTCATTGTGGATCCTCTGCTTGCCTTGTGCTAATGTTGAAGTACAACTTCCATAATTAAAATATGCATTTTATCCAAGTTTGGATTTGATTCAATGCCTGAGGTTATCAGTTGTCATGTTCAGCCAATCAATGCTGTCCATATTCGGCTAAAACGGATATATCTAATGTGAATGTGGAACTTCTACATTACCAATAGGTAACCCGGGGTGGGGGAGGGGGGTGGGTTTGGGACCTCAGGGTTTGATTAAACCACTTGAAAACCAGCATTTCGTGGTTATGGTGTTTAGATTGCTCTGTCAATTTTACTAGTTAACACATTGGTTACAAAAAAATAAATTAAAATCCATTTGTAGAGAATAAAAGTAATTTTATTGACTAAATCAATTCTTCACTTTGACATCTTTAAAGGCTTTTGTAGAAAATATCGGACCCAGCTTATTGCACATTACATTTTATTTTAATTCCACTGATTAATGAGGTAATAGTTACGGCCCTTTCTCTTTAGAGTCAGAGAGAAAAGGAGATTTTAACAAATAGATTAAAGTTTATTTTCAGAGGGCTTTAAACACAAGCAATACCCTGACAAAAAGCAAACAAACAAACAAAAAAGTAACTATATTCATTCATGACATACAGAATGTGTGTATATGTGGGATTCATAGTAAGGATGGAAAAGGACAACTTTCTCCACCCATATATAAGCATCTTATTTTCCTCCTTCCCTTACTTGCTTCCCTGATTTATTTGCTGCTATCTTTTCCAATGGTCGGTGCAGACAGTTGAATGCAGTAAAAAATGTAGAGAAGCATCAGCGCTTAAAAACTTAAATGAAGGCAGCACACCTAAAGGATAGGCATATAGGTATAAGGAAGTAGAAAAAGGTGGCGCCACAGAGATAATATGTACAATTAAATATAAGCAAGTAATAATGTAGAAATAAACAATGATATATAATACAGAGAGAGAACAATACAAAAATAATAGGTAGAAAAGAACAGTCCAAAAAGAGTCCAGTAAAACCTTGGGATGAGAGAACAATCACAGTTCTATCTGAGGTAGAGACGTCTATGGAGTAGTGGCATCAAGGGGTTCGTGGGATCTGTATGAAAGAGAAGAGAAAATCGAAAAGAATCAAAGATTTTCTCTTTTCTTTCATATGGATCCCACAAACCCCTTGATCCCACTACTTGCTTAGCTTCTTTCTGCCTAATCTTATAGCTCATTCTGTCTGCCTCACTCTGTTTTTTTTTATATAATTACTAAATGCTAACTTTTTGTTTTTTACTATTTTGGCCACATCTGTGGAGTACCACAGTGGTTTCTTGAATTGTTTGCTTTTACTGACAAGCCTAATGCCATTTTTTGCTGCCTTAAGCAGTGCAACTTTTAAATAATCCCATTTCTTTTGGACTCCATTTAAATTGCTCCAGTCTGATAATGACTCTTTTACACATATTCTAATATTACAAAAGTCTGTTTTTCTAAAGTCTAAAACTTTTGTTTTTGTGTGGTGTTACTGTTCTTATATTAAACCACACTGACTGATGATCACTGGATCCTAAACTTTCACCTACAGTAATATCTGATACCAAATCTCCATTTGTTAACACTAAATCTAGTATGGCCTCTTTACGAGTTGGCTCCTCAAATAGCTGTCCTTCTGGCACAAGCAGCTATTTTGGTTTTCCAGTTCACATCAGGAAGAATAAAGTCACCCATGATGATAACTTCCCCCTTCATCGTCATTTTAGCTATTTCCTCAACTAGTAGATTATCTAACTCTTCAATTTGTCCTGGGGGCCTATAAATTACACCTACACGAGTTACTGTGTGATTACCAAATTCTAACATAACCCAAACGGACTCTATGTTCGCCTCACTAACTTTTATGAGGCTAGATTTTATGCTATCCTTCACATACAGGACCACCCCATAAGTACCTGAAAGCGAAAGATCAAAAATAGCAACCACTTTAGGAACCAGACACAATATCAGTGCAACAAGGTCTTATTTAGAGAAACATACCTACATAGGTATTTTAAGGAAAGCAATAGCTAAATGATGATCTAAAATATGACACTTCCTCTTTCAGGGGACTCTACCACTTTTCTGACAGGACCTTAACTTTTACACATGGAAGTGATGCTTTCTCTTTGGGAAGTACCCTTTTTGTTCCGGCTATTGGAGAAACAAATGAGGCAGTCTGATCTGGACAACTTCCCATGTGCTCCATGGAAGTTCTTCTACACTGAGAGCCAATCTAATAAAGCTCATTTTATATATATATATATATTTATAACTCCTCTTGGACAAGCGATTTTTAGTGGTTATATGATCCTATCACATAGGAGCATACCTTATTAGGTGACTACTATTATTAATATACTTTTTTCTATTAATTTTTTTCACCAGATCTCATTTATATTAATTTATGTACCTAGCTGCAGGTATTTCTACACTGGATAGACCATTACAACAACTACTTGCATTTCCAGGTGATACTGCGATCCCTTAACACTTTTAGTGCTGGGTTTCTATGTATCTATTTGTTTGTATCTTTTTGTCGTATTTAATTTTTATCACAAAAGGAGGGGGGCCACCAGACCTGGGGACAGAAACACTAAAGTGTTAGGAATACACATGGGTATGTTTTACTTTTCCTTGAACTATACATGCAGAGATGAGAAATGTGACAATTATTAGCCTACACATTCTACAACTTAACTCACGTAAGTCAGATAAGTCTGTCAGGCCACTTCTGGCCGCATAATGTGTAGGTGGAAAGGGCTGACTACCAGATTTCTAATTTCTCTGTGCAGGTCTTAGATCTCCTCAGGCCCCCGATGTTATGTATTCTCGGAGAAACACTTCTCAGAAACGAAAGAAATAAAGGGTAGGTTCATGCAACTGAAACTTTATGTATGTTTGTTCTAAAATAGGAATAAGGATGTATTTAATAAAGAGACGAGGAGTCGATGAAGAGACGTGTTAAGATGCCGAATGATGCAATGTATTTTTATATATCTATTTAGTAATTACACAAACAATATAAATCAAGAATGCAAAAAATATAGTTAGTTAATTATCCTAAAGTTATTAAAGGCAATAAAAGAAAAGTGAAATACTTGTTCCCTTTGAATTATTTTATTTAAGTGACTATATAAAGAGATGTGCCTATTTGTAAAGTAGTATTTTACTTTTAAAGTTTTATTAATGGTTGGACTACCCACTCAAAAGCTTAGAATGTTGCAAAGCTCTATAATAATAATTGTAATAAGCACACACAATGATGTGTGCTTCAATTGCAGTACTCATGTGACCATTAACTTTCACCCTGGAAAGCAGGTCTTGTGAGATGCTGGGCACTATTTTCCTTAGCAATGCTGACAAAGAAATAGCACGACTATTTTACATATGCAATCTAATAGCTTTAAGAAGTACAAAGGTTTCTGAACAGCTACGAGGCATTGTACCACAACATCAATAAAACTGAAGCACTTGCAGTAGAATGAGAACCTGTTCAGGATTCTGACCGGATTATTACATTTTCAGCTAAGATCTTCTGCATTTGAAATAAAAAATACCTTAAGCTGCCTTGTCTACTGCAAAAAATGCAAAATGTGTGAAAATCTTAAATCTACTGAACTTTCAAAAATAAACTATTTCTTTATATTAATAATAATAATTTAATTTTCAACCCGTGATTTGCATTGTGCATGGAACACATTCACATATTGATTGTAACTGTAATTAGATAAAGGACCAAAAAAACTGCTTATAGACAGGTATAGGTAAGTAAATTGGATTTGGATACAGACAGACAGACAGACAATATACTTCAGTTTTATTGCAGTACAGGCCTATGAGCCTATTTAATAGTAATAATTATAATAATAAGTCTCGGGACCCATTAATGTAAACACCAAAATAAATATCTGCTGTATATGAGTAGACTAGGATACTAAAGGGTCTATTAATTAAAAAGTGAATTGTTAAGGAAATTGCAATATGTAGGCAAAGGTAGCCAACTTGGAAAAATTATTTTGAGAATGTTTTAAGTTTGGTTTGTTTGGTGTTACCTTTGTGGGAATAAGCTGGTCATGATATTGTGTGGTTTTATGTGGGTGGACGCTGTTGGCACTGCTTGTGGTATTGCATGGGGGGAGGCTGCTTGGGGTATTGTGCGTTTATGGGGATGCTGTTTGTAGGGACATTGTTTGTGGTGCTGCATGATGGGAGGCTGCTTGTGGTATGGTGTATCTGTGGGGATGATGTTTGTAGGGACACTGTTTGTGGTGTTGCATGTCTGTGGGGACACTGCTTGTGGTATTTTCTGGGGGAAGGAAGGCATGCTGCTTGTGGTCTTGAGTTTGTGGGGACTTTGCTTGTAGGTTGAGGTATTGGTGGAGGCTGCTAGTGGGGTTGAGTGTGTGTGGGGTTTTTTATGGTTTAGTGTCTAGGGGCTGTAGTGTTTTTTGTAAGTGTAAATAGGGTTTGTTTTGTGTGTGCATGTGGTGGGAAAAGAGCTGCAGTGTGTGTGTTTTGGGGGATTTGGGCTGTAGTGTGTGTAAAGCAGAAATAATGGCTGTAATGTGGGAGGGTAGGGGCTTTAATTTGGGGATAAGGGATGTAGTGCAGGGGATAGGGGCTGTAGTGTGTCTGAGGGTGACATAAGAGCTGTAGTGTGGAAGAAATGGGCTGTACTTTAGAGGAGATTGGGACTGTAGTATAAGTGGGGAGGGGCTGTAGTATGTGTGTGTGGCAGGATAAGAGCTGTACAGTGTGAATGTGAAATAAGGGCTGTAGAAACCCTGAGGAGTCAGGCAAGGCTTAGACAGAACAGGGACATGTGAGAGTGAGGGGAGTACATAGAAAGAAATATTAAGGAGATCTTAGAATGGTGGGTGGAGGTTTAGGGCAAAGGGGTGTTCCCAGTATAAATAGGAGGGCATTTTGCAGGCCAAGCAGCCATCTTAATTACCCAGATTGGTAATTGTTAAGACACCCCTGGTGTCTTTAAGGGAAACCGTCGCTTAGTTAACCTTCCCCCTTTGCAATATCAATAACTCCGTTCGCATAGACTGCGGTATACGAACCATCAACAGGGGAAGCGGTAATCTCCTGAACGGGATCCACGAATCGTTGCTAGTCGCCGAACAAATATATCCACCAAGCGGCTTGAGGCTCCAGCAATCAGTCTCTAGTTGTCGGTAATAAATGCCCCCAATAACGAGACCAAGCTCCGCATTGAGGGTCAAACAGGATCTGGCTTTACTGTGGGCTACCCGCCCGTATTTATGCAGGTCTCCCACTTGGTGGACACTCCCCTAGGGGACCAAATGGGAGACTGTAATGACAGATAGACATGGGGACATTTCAGACATACAGATGTAAACATTTCCCACAATGCAATAGGGTTTCCTCCCCTCTGCCCTGGAGATAATTGAGAAGTAATTCAATTATCTCCAGGACAAAGACAAATTGCCATCTTAAATAAAATGCCAGAAAACACACAAAAATATATAATTCCATAACTACCGAACATTTCACATTCGTATCACATATCCCCAGATTGCCTGGATCTGAGTGCATATTATTAGCGAATAGCGCTCAGATCCCATACACACAGTTCAATCGCCATGGAGTCAAAGTCTATTACAGTCTTTCGGTATGCGATTGACTCCATCGGAAGGCCATCTGGGTTAAGTCCATTTGTACGTTTAAAACTCCTGAACGGCCGGTGTTCGTATACTTCCGTCGATTTGAGAAGGGAGGTTGGCGGCTTCAGTGGTGTTCAGCGGAAAAAAGTGTCCGTTTTCAGTTCCATGGAATCAATGCTGAACACCGCTGGTCTTTCGCGTGGTTTAAAATGGCCGCCGCCTCGTGGTCGACATACGAACGACGACCACCCTGTATTCGGTTTTAATTGAGAAGTGTCTGCGGTTAACCACAACGTTCTAATTGGGATCAAGAGGTTAACCAGCAGCACACTTCTATCCTGGGTGGCCATCCGTTCGGGAGGTTTGTTCGGTAAAATGGGTCATTCATATGCATGGGCTATGGAAACAGCCATTTACATGAAAGGAAGGCAAAACCGACAAATCCACCACAAATAGGTATACAGATGGTTCTGTCACAGTAACAGCTTGGTAACTGCTTTGGTAATCTGCTACTCGCTTCTTACCTGCTTG